GGTGGGGTGGGGTGGGGTGGGGGATATGAGAAGGACTGACGAGGCAGGAGTGTAGACCAGTGGCCCAGGGCCTAGGAACGACAGAATCCCAAGACAGCAGCCATTGCTAGGGAATCCCCCTTCCACGTGCAGAGTCCAGTACTTTCGTCCTTTTCAAAACAGCCATTCTTCAGGGGAGGAGCCTGTGACACGGTCAGCCACGCCAACGCTGAAGAAGCATCGTTGGCCAAGAAGCGCCATTTGTTTAAGGTGGTTAAAGAACAAGTTTACCTTCTTCTTAGGCAATGCTAGGCCAAGGGTTAGACACACACACACACACACACACACACACACACCCAAAGGCATGCATATTCAAGGAGAGACTTCTGGTTTCCTGGGGAGGCAGATGCCAAGCTACAGTACGCATGGGGATTCACCAGGACCCCTCCAAGCCCTCACTCCACTCAGATTCCCCCTCTCCTTCACTGCTCTCCGAAATCCTGACTCTGCTAAACTTTTATGCAAACCAGGTTCCAAGGTCCCCTCCTCTCCCCCCCAAAGACTCCCATATTTGAGAACGCTCCTGGTGTAGATGAACTCTGTGTGCACACACCAGCTGCGGCTATGAACAAGTCACATGCCCTTCCCCCTTTCAACAGTAACCTGATTATTATTCTTAAATGCATTTCTAACCTTTAACCCCAGCACTGGGGAGGCAGAGCCAGGTGGATCTGAGTTCGAGGCCAGCCTGGGCTACAGAGCGAGTTCCAGGCCAGCCAGGACTACCCAGAGAAATCCTGCTGGGGGGGGGGACCAACCAAATGAACCACAAATGATTTTCTGTGAGGGTGCAGGAAGCTTGCCTTCCTCACATTTAATCCCACCCAGAATCATTTTCTTTTTCAATCTTCCATTCTTAAAGAGCAGGCAGACCTTGTCAGAGGCAACAGAGTTAGTGAGGAGCAGACAGCCCGGCTGCTTACCTGCTGTCCCCTGCGTTGGCCACGTACAGCTTCCCCAGGAGGCAGACCACGATGAGGGCCGTGCAGCCGCCGGATATATTATAGGCGCTCCTCTCCCGTTCTATCTGAAGGTCCTGGAGGAGACAGGAAAGTCAATGCCACTGTGCAGGCCTCGGGACTAAGGGAAGCCTTCCTCCCTCCACCTGGTACAACAGTCTCGGGTCTGGATGTGCTGCCAGAAGGGACAGGCTATCCTCAGGACCGGCTCTCCTACCACCCGAGGGCGGCAGTGGTTCTCAACCTTCCTGACGTGTCGCGCCCCTTTAATACAGTTCCTCATGCTGCGGTGACCCCCCAGCCATGAAACGATTTCTTTGCTACTTCGTAACTGTAATTTTGCTGCTTTTATGATTGAAATGTAAATATCTGAGATGCAGGAGATCTGATATGTGACCCCTGTGAAAGGGTCATCTGACCCCCCGACCCCACCCCAAGGGGGGTTGCTACCCACAGGTGGAGAACCACTGACCTAATGGGCTTCTCTGGAGGACCTGACACAAAACTACCAGACCACTGCAGACCAGAGACTGGAACCAAAGGACCACACATGGACACATCAGGTAACTATGGGAAATCCCAGTTAACAGACAGCACAATTCACGGGAATCTAGTCTGTGTGTGAGGTGCTTGTCATGTGGGACACAGAATAAGGCTAGGGACGCCAAGTACCTGGACATAAACTATGTTTTTAACGTGAAGCCTTGATAAATAGTTCTTTTATAGCTGGATAAATAGAGGCGACTTAGCCTGGTGGTGGCGGCAGCGGTGGTGGCACACGCCTTTAATCCCAGCACTCAGGAGGCAGAGCCAGGCGGATCTCTGTGAGATCGAGGCCAGCCTGGGCTACAGAGCGAGATCCAGGACAGGCACCAGAACTACACAGAAACCCCCTGTCTCGGAGGGAGGGAGGGAGGGAGGGAGGGAGGGAGGGGGAGGCGTGACTTAAAGATGAACTGTCTGCTATTCAACACAGATGTGTGCGAATACATTTTCCACCTCTGTAGCCACAGTTCACAATGAGCCACACTCCCAATGTTGGAGCAGCCCACAGACACTTTATCTACATGGGGCGTAGAGCTAAGTCCTGGGCATGTGCAATCTCATTATGGCCTCACGACCGTCATCATTAACTATGTGGCTCGGAGGCAGAGAGGTGGGGCCACCGCCCATATTTACCTGGCTAACAAGTGGACCTTTCCCTCATACCGGTTCCCTTCCCAAACCCTGCATTACCTGCCCTACAATGAAGCATCCTCAGGAAAAGTAAAATCAGACCAACATTTCTGTTGACAGACAACGTCAGAACAATTCTGTGTGACTGAAAGAACCAAATGGTCTATGTCTTCGGGGAAACAGGAGTTGAGGGAGGTGTTCCTTCTACACTGGAAGTCGTCCACCGTTGAGGCGGAGCGAGGGAGAAGGTGGAGGGGGTAAGGGTGGGGAAAAGTTCCAAGAGGGAGAAACGGATACTCTGGCTCTTCTGAGAGGTCCTGGGGACTTCGGTGACTCTCAGAATGGGGAGTTGGAGTTAGCTGCTTCCTTCCTCCTGGCCTCCTCACGGAACAAGGGAGAATGCTTAGTCCTCCAGCACTGGACAACCATGGCCACACCACTCCACTTACTTACTTGAATGCTGTATAAACCATTTTCTTAAGGGCAATTAAGAGGGTTAAATTAGGAGGTGTGGTGGAGGTGGAGCTTAGTCACAGCCACAGGGTCCCTCCCAGCGGTGGAGAGTTCACAATTGAGAGCAGTGACTACTTCTGTCCCTTTCAGATCCTCAGCATCTGTGTCAGGCCAGGCAAACACTGGTTAAGTGTCTGTTAAATGGACAAGTGGAGAAATATACTTAAAAAAAAAAAAAAAAAGTCTGGATTTCCAAACATCTTCTCAGCGATTTACCTGTGACAGGAGATATGGAAGCTACTAATCACATATCCCACGTTTACCAGGGCAGATGCACACGGAGACACCCGTGAGACCAGAACCCTTGCTGCAGCTAAATGCCAGTGGACAAGAGCCAAGGGTCATGACGTCCTGTGCCGCAGATGGCAGGAAGGTCAAGGTGAACAGTAGGAGGGACCTGGGAGCTGGGGGTGGGGAGGTGGTTCTCTCAGGGGAAGAGCAGAGCGAAAACATCAAGAGGCCCTGGTCTTTGTGTTTCATTTCCAGAATAAAAAGAATCCTTTGGTGGGTAGATTTGTTAGGATTTTTTGACACACAAAAAACTAAAGAGGTTGACATAGGTACATTTTAGATACAGTAAGTACATGCCCATTTAATATGTAATAAGTATATAACTTGGTATATCCAAGTCCACATCCAACATTACTGTTTTTAATATACTGAATATTTAATATATTGAAAAGCACTGCTCTGGCTGGGGGAATTATCCCTTCATCGTTGCGACCAGTATTTGCTTGAATATGTAAGTCTGAATGAAAGGCACTATTGATTAAAAATTCCTTAAAGCATCCAAGTGTTTGCATGCTGCATAGGACCTGGAATGTGAGTGGTGTATGACAGGTTTAAGTGAATTATTACTGCAATCCAAAAGTGTGTGTGTGTGTGTGTGGGCACCCTATAATACAAAGAGTCCGTGTTAAAGAACTATGCATGGCAAAGAATTCCCTAGGGATTGAGGCAAATGGATTTATTCTGGATCGTAGGTATGGGCATTATTTATCATGGTTTCTAATGTAAGAATGTCTGGTTTTAAAATTATTTAATCCTTGGGGTGATCAAGACAGTGTCCAACAAAAAGATGTTCTGTTACAGCAGCAGGCTTCATATTTACTTTTAATGCTGGGGACTATTCTGGTTAGTTTATTCAGCTCAGACCTTAATATAAATTAACGGTATGGTGAGCACGCTCTCTCACACACACACACAATCTACTTACTTCGCTTCTTCCTTTTTTACATTTCAACTGTACATTTTTTTTCCTGCAGTTTCTTCTGGATAAGGTACGCTACTTTCTTATAAAAAAAGAAGTGGACTCAAGTCTAACTATATTTTAATCCAAGAAGCCCTGCTCCCACATGTATGCTCTGACCACACCATCCCCCACATCTGGGGGGGGAATACACATGTGCACACATGGTAATTACAAGTGTGCTCTCCACCAGCCCTATCACTGGGGTTTGAAAGGCATATTTCTACAGAATCCATCCCCCCCGAAGAATTCACTGACATTAACACACACTCCTCTATTTCTTCTGAAACTGTGTGCAACTAGAACAGATTCTAAAAATAATTGCCTCATTTCCCTCCTCCCTAGAAGCCAAAATAGCACATTTATTTTTTTCCTACACACACACCACCTACTCCTCTCTAAAAGATTCAGAAAATCTTTGTACTGAAAGGAACATTAAGGGACCATCTGGGTGGCTCTTTTACTATGAGATTAAACATGATAAATGCAGTCAATAAAGATATATTTACCATGGAATTAACTGCCTTTCCCCTTCAAAATCCTCAATCTTTCAAATTACCCTAAGCCATTTACACTTGAGAGAGAGAGAGAGAGAGAGAGAGAGACAGTGTGTGTGTGTGTGTGTGTGTGTGTGTGTGTGTGTGTGTGTGTGTGTGTACGTAAAAAAAAATCACAATGTCTAACTCTTTTAAGCCCCTGAATTTTAGGTATTTTTTTTTCTAACCAGCCAATGTGATCATGAGAAAAGCTGCCGACTGCTGTGTGTTCTAAGCAAGAACACACAAGGACGGCCTCTCCATTTTAGCTGCCGGTGAATTCCGAGACAGACATCCAGAATAGCTTACTGGTAGACTATCTACGTACTATCATCCCTTCCCAGTGTGGTCTAGCTGCTAACGGACCGTCGGAATGAGCCAGGGGCTGATCCGCTCAGTCCAGTGCCCTGCTGCCCCCTCAAAGGCAACATTCTACGGAGCGATGCTGCCGAGTTATTCTGTGTTGCAGCTGCTTTAACAGCACATTCGGATGAGGCTCATCTCTGGCTCCAAGAAGAGCCAATTCTCATGATATGGGGTTTTATTTGTGCCGCCCCCCCCCCCGCCCGCATTTTATTTTTTTTGGTTGTTGTTGTTGTTGCAAGGAGTGGACACAGACGATACAGAGATACGTGTAAAATGAGACTCCCTTGACGGGAAAGAATTTCAAGAAAAAAAAATATTTATTACCCAGAAGGGTTGTCATTTGATTTGAAAGTCTCAGAGATGATGCAGCTCCAGGCTCAGTCTTTGTTGCTCATCAGTTCCAGGTTGGGAAAAGAAAACACTATTGGTCAGCAAAAGAAAGCGACCACCCCGCAGTTTTAATGTACCTGGCAGCTCCCCCTGGCTGGGTTATAACGTGGTTCTGAGCATACTGCTAATAGTGTCAGTCACAAATAATAAGATTCTGCCTGGCTTTCGTATCCGGGTCTCATCCTGGTTTATTCTGAGAACAAGGCCATCTGCCAGCTAGGCAAGGAGTTTCAGAAGGGAGTTTAAAAAAAAAAAAAATTTTTTTTTTCAAAAACCACAGCTGTCCAATATCGCCACCTGCTGACGGCAGGGGAATCCCAGGCCCATCCCTTCCTAAAGGAACTTCATGGGGCAACAACAAAAGACTAAACAAAAACCAAGCTCCAATAAAGACGCTTAAGTTATACACTTACCATAAATATGCTCATTGAAATTCTAGAATTCATAAATCAGCAATAAGCTTGGCATTCATTCTCAAGCTTTATAACATCATGGTATGTTTTCCCCTCCAACCAGTTGCCAGTAATAGAAGACTGAGAGTTGTTTTACAAGTTAAAACATTGCCAATTTCACGGCTGAGGAGCTGACTCCGTGGTTAAGAGCAGTGGCCGCTCTTCCAGAGGACCAGGTTCAATTCCCAGCATCCACACGGTAGTTTTCAACCATCTGTAACTCCAGTTCCAAGGGTGATCTGACACCTTTTTTGGAGACTGCACGCGTGGTGTACAGACAGACATACATGCAGACAAAACACCCATACACACAAAAATAAATAAACCTAAAACCTAAATGCTATTCTCTCCCTTACAAAAAGCTTCTAGGGCATTCTTCTCTGTGGCAAGAACTTATATGCATCCTGTTAGTGGGAAAATCGGGGCTCCCTTCTGGGTTCTCAGTCTCCTCAATAAAAGAATTCAGAAACACATTCAGAAGACGGAAGCTCCAGGATGATTTGTTTTTAGACTCCAAGAGAAAAACAATAGGGCAGGCAAGCTGTACATCTTAGCAGGTGAGGAAGAGGAGGAGGAAGAAGAGGAGGAGGAGGAGGAAGAAGAAGATGAAGACGAAGAAGAAGGAGGAGAAGGAGGAGGAGGAGGAGGAGGAGGAGAAGAAGAAGAAGAAGAAGAAGAAGAAGAAGAAGAAGAAGAAGAAGAAGAAGAAGAAGAGAAATCCAAATCCATGCTTTTTTGAGTTAGGGTCCAAGGCTGGCATGTTCAGCCATGAAGGCTGGCCAACAGCTGCATGGCAGGAGGTGAGGGGGACTTCGGAGGAGACTGAGGGAGCCCCGAGTGTCAGGGGAACATACTTAGGCTTGAGGGAGAAAGAAGATGGAAGAGTGGGCAGGTTGCATGGTGAAGCTCGGTGAAGCTCTGTAAGGTCTGGACGGGGGGAAGGGTTTTCGTTCAGTACATCATTTAATTAAGTGGACAACCGTTCCTTTCATGGCCTCAGCACGTCCTCAGGTGAATCCTACCTCCCGTGAGGCAGGTGTTTGGTACCTCGAGCTAGGTTAATTAACTCTCAGGGAAGGAGACAAGGAAGGCAACGTTCTAATGTTTTGAGCAGATGAAAATGTCAACGTCTCCATGCAGGGCCAGAAGTGGATTCCACTCTTTTTTATTTTATTTTATTTTTGGTTTTTTGAGACAGGGTTTCTCTGTGTAGCTTTGCACCTTTCCTGGAACTTGCTCTGTAGACCAGGCTGGCCTTGAACTCAAAAAGATCCTCCTGCCTCTGCCTCCCGAGTGCTGGGATTAAAGGCGTGCGCTGCTGCTGCCGCCGCCGCCGCCGCCGCCGCCGCCACCATCACCGCCCGGTGGATTCCACTCTTTTGGCTACGAGGAAGGAGCTTAACAGACCTCAACAAACCTGCATCTTTTTTACATGGTAAGTTAAAATACTATGGAGGCTAATCTTGATTTTTTCCCTTTCTAGGGTTACCAGGGAAACAGCAGGTGAGGTCCAAAGTCAGCCATGAGGGAGTGTCCGTCGTCAAGAGCCTCGAAGCCCAATACCCCCTGTCCAGCTAGCTACCTAACAATACTGAAAGGAAGCAGGTGAGGATTCTGAGATTCTCTTAGCTTCATCCTGAGTTCAGATCTTGTAGCCGGCAGGCTGACAGGCTCACCAGTGCTGACTTGGTTTCTGATCCTTTGACAGTTACCCTGCTGATGGAATTAACTTCTTCTTTGAGTCTGAAGTGTTGTCCATTCAACCCTAACGTTCTTTTTTGGGGAGAGGGTTGAAACTAGACCTGAGAACATTTATCTCATTCACACCCGTCATCTTGGGCCAGGAAACAAGCTAGCTGCTAAGCCAAGCACGGTTAGAAAAAAATCACTGTTGGCAAGCAGACTTGAACCCATAAAACTGGAGAGAAGAAAGTTGGTTTCAGGGCTGGAGAGACAGCTCAGGCTGTTCTTCCAGAGGTCCTGAGTTCAATTCCCAGAAACCACACGGTGGCTCACAATCATTCATAATGAGATCTGGTGCCCTCTTCTGGCCTACAGGGGTACATGCAGACAGGACACTGTGTACATAATAAAGAAATAAATCTTAAAAAAAAAAAAAAGTTGCATTTAGAATCTCCAAGAAAAAAAAAAAACCAAAATTTTGCTTTGAGACAGAAATCCCCCCCCCCCAAAAAAAACCCAACTACCAGGAGAAGCAGGGAAGAAAAACGATTTTATAGGAGGCGACAGTAATCTCCAGGCCATTATTTGAGGGTCCTGGCATTGTTTCTGCCTCTATACGGTCAGTTCTGATGCTCATCCCAAGCAGTCAGTGGCCAAGTTTCTGAGATTCTTCTAGGAGGCCACAGTTTGTTTTCCACGGTGGAAACAGGAGCAGCTGGCTACACGGCCTTCCCGGTAGGAAGTCAGATCCAAGATGGGATTCAACAAAGGGGTTGTAAGGCTAAACCCATCCCTGATAGAACGACAGGCCAGGGGTCGGAGGTCACCTTCCCCATCCATCTCACACTGTGTAGGCAACCCAAGCATCCAAGATGCAAAGACACCGTCTCCGAGGAGCACAGAGCACCTGCTAGAATTTCCATCACCACCTCTTGTTCAGAGCACGCTTTCTTCTTTTTCCTTCTGTTAGTCTACACTTTGTGAAAACCACCCATGTGCCCTAGCGACAGGTGCCCCTTGTTCCGGCCTGGGATTTCCAAATCTATGTTGGACTGCTGTCATCCATTGTATTACTTCCTTTGGCATTATTTAGAACACCAAAATAACTGAGATATGCATGGCACGCTGCTACAGGAATTAATAGCCTTTAAAGACACTGTGGAATGGGCAGCATCCTTTTTCCCCGGCAACAGTGGGAAGGGGGGGGCGCAACACAACTTCCTTAGCCCCCCCCCCCCAGCTCTTGTTTGATCTGCTCCAAAGGTGAACATTCCATACTACTTTCTACTCCCTCAGGAGCAAATCCAGCTGGGCCTGTCAATCGTCTGGCTAGGAGATGAAACCCAGGAAATCCGAGTCACATGCTAAGGTGATGGGAAGAATAATTGTCCCCCTAATTAAATAATGAGTTCCTGCATGTCTCAGAGCTTAGAGAGATTCCACGGTGGAGCACGGCTCGGCCTGCCTGCTCTCCTGAGCTCTACTCACACCTCCTGCCATCTCCATATCTCTCTCTCTCTCTCTCTCTCTCTCTCTCTCTCTCTCTCTCTCTCTCTCTCTCTCCTGTATTTCACTTGTTGAATGCCTGACTTTTTCTATTTTTATTCTATGTTCTACTCCCATTCAAGCCTGACAAAGAGTTGATTCTCAGCAAATATTTACTGAATGAACTGAAGTGGCGTATCTATTCCCACACAAACACACACACACATGCGCGCAAGCGCACATACAACTGTTTTCTCAGGGAATTTCAGGCAGTGAACTGCCTAATGTGAAAAACTTGGAAAGACAAACCTTGGGCTCCTTCTTAGGTATTTAGGGAATACAGCTTCCCATTTCAAGTGCTGCTGCTGCTGCTAGGGAGGCTTTCGGCAATGTGACACTGCCCTCTAGTGGGTGGAGTTGAGAAGACAGTAGTTGCAGGCCAAAGATGGTCTGTACCCCGGCCGCCACAGATGGAAACAAGAATCCCAGGGTGTCGCCCCCGCCTCGCCAAGCCCCCCGTCTTCTGAGTCCTTCTCCGCTACAGGGACAGGTCACTGCCAAACTGTCGCCTCTGTTAAATGTTCCGAGTCCTGTGCACCACTGCTGCCTGGTCGTACTCACCAACACCTGAGCGTCTACACCAGCCAGAGGGATGGACAGTCTTCTTATCCTAAGCCTCTGCAGGAGTCAACTCTTCTACCTCGACTCCCGGCTTTCCCCCTAAAGCATCTTTTTCCAGAGGGGGTGCATTTTAAACTCCGCACTAACCAAAGGGCAAGTATACGTGTTCAGAGATGAAACCAAACCAAGGAGGGATGAGCTGGAGTCTCAAATTTGAGGTATTAATAGATGAATGTTGTTCCTTATAAACAAATCAGGAACTACGTTCACTTTTCTCCTCTGAGTAGGGTGTAGAGCACAGTCTTAAGTCCCAGACCATGAGGGTGGACACACACTTCAGGTGAGGCGTTTCTAGCCACCCATGCATCACGGAATGGGTTTACCATCACATTCCAATCTTCAGGTTTTAAAAACACTGCCCTCTGGCCTCCCGCAAGTTCATCCAAACACCCTTAGGTAGCCCCTACTCTTTGCCCATACACAGCTTGCTGCTGAGAGAAGAACATCTTTGGAACCACAATATGCCTCAGTAAAAGGCCTCGGAGTCAGAGTTGGGAGGAGGTCACATGGGATACAGCATCCATGGCAGTCCTGCCAGGCAGAAGACAGCCAGGATCCAGGCCAACATGCAGGATGCTGAATTCCCTGACCAGACCCCACTCAGATAGCCAGCCGAGCATAAAGGAGTCCAGGCCCTGGAGAACCAAGCCACGTGGCCCTCTTTCCTCCCCTCAGTTGCCCTCCAGGCTCCTTTTTTTTTTTTTTTTTAGACAGAGATTTATTGTGTAGCCTGGGCTAGCCTGGAACTTGATACATAAACCAGGCTGGCTTCAAACTCATAGAGATCCACCTGCCTCTGCCTCCAAGAGCTGGGCTTTAACTGCGTATGCCACACCAGCCTGCGCCCGTTTTAAAAGGAAGGGTACGGCAGAGTACTTTGCTGAACACGGTTTCCCCAACACCTGGACTTTGCACATATGTGTGGAACAGATGGCGGCCGCGCTCACATTCCGTACCAGGTGGTGTCAACAGGCGTCTCATGAAATAGCAGGGATAATACGCAGAGGGAGTCCTATGCTCGCCCTCTCTCGTGGTCTTAATTTCTGCTGGCAGTCACTCCAGAAACTGTATCTGGCCGTGACCTTTTTAATAAGCCTGTGGCAGAAGAGAGATGAGCCTGCGAGCCAGCGGGAGGAGGCAGGAAGACCCCGCCCACTTCAGGGACATCCTTCCCAGCAAGACCGCTTTGGACTGAGCTACCCCAGGTGTCCAGGATACATACCATCTCCTTGAAGGCGCTCTCCAGGGCCCCAATGACCAAACACTCATGCGGGATCTTCTTTTCGGTGAAGAAGCGCGTGGGTGGCGTGCTGGGGGACCCGGGGGCCCCCACGCCTCCACGGAGCGACGCTGCGCGGGTTAGGGTCCTGCCATGGGCCGGCGTGCTCTCGGGCTCCTCCCCTAGGCAGGTCGGGGGAAGGATGGCGGAGTTCTTCAGGATCTCCACGATGTCCTGCAGCTGCTGCGTGATGTGGTGCTGCAGCAGCCGCGAAGCCACCACGGCGGCCCCCGAGCCCGCATGGCCGTCGAACAGGGACCAGTAGTGGCAGGAGATGCCCTCGGACTCCTGGGGAGAGAGAGAAAGAGAGGAGGGGACAGGAGAGAAATGAGGACCTGGGTCGTAGCCTCCGCCGGGCCACGCTCTTCCAGTTGGATGTCTACCTTTGGTCTGAAAATAATGGAAGCAAACTCAGGGCCCTCGAGTTAGTCACTGCTGTTACCAACACCCATGGGATGAAGTGGTCCCAGCCTCCCCACCCAGGGCAGGAGGTCTAATCATCAGCCACTAACTAGGTCACGGCTTGGAGGAAAGGATGTAACTCTAACTAGGCGCCTAGAGTTTGTGATACAATTCCATATAAAAGTTGTCTCTATAGGAGGAGTCCGGCTTTAACATTTAACTGCTCACCTCCCGGAGGGACGGTGCAGTCCCAGACTAGGCTTGGCCTTGGCGCCTGGAGAAAGCCCTTTCCTAAAGTGGTGGGAAGAAGTGTTTTCCTCCATCAGTGCCCTTACCCCGAGACAACTCTCCCTTTGTCCTTTTCTACATCCTGAGCTCCTAAGACATGTTTCTCCACTACCCGGGAAGCCTAGTCCAGTCCACACAACATGCAACCACTAACAATGCGTTTTCCCTATGTCTGCCGCTGCCCCCACTCCCCCCAGTTTCCCAACTATGTACAGTCTGTATTCCTTCCTCTATCATGGACTTAGTCATGCCAGGGGCTTCTCTCTCTCTCTCTCTCTCTCTCTCTCTCTCTCTCTCTCTCTCTCTCTCTCTGTCTCTCTCTCTCTCTCTGTACATGTGGGTATGCGTGAACTCCCACATGGAGCTAAATGTGGAGGCTGGAGATTGACACAGGGTATCTTCTATTGATGTCCATCTTAACTTTTTCAAAAGACTGATTTTTAATCAATCAGAGTGTGTGTCTGTTGTGTATGTGAGCGTGGTTGTGCAAAGGCCAGCGGCATCAGATCCTCTCTCACCGCGCCCAAAGGCTGCAGAAACCCAGAGCTCACTTTTTAGCTCCCCCGGCTGAGCTGAAGACCCTGTCTCCACGTCCCTCCAGCGCTGGGGTCACAGGCCCATGAAGGCACACCCAGCTGTTATGTGAGTGCGGGTGACCTGAAAACAGGCGTTCGTGCCCGCACGACAAACCCTTGGACCCACCAAGCCTCCATCCTGCCAATGTTCTGAGTTAAGACGAGCAGTTTTAGAAACCATGCAACTAAATTATACACGCAAGCTAGGCATGGCAGTGGACAGCGATGGTCCCAGCACTCGGAATGCCGAGATAAACGGGTAGGTGAGTTGAGACCCCTGTCTTCAAACACCCTAGAACACACAAGCATAAGATGCATACGATAAACACTACAGTAGACAGTAGTAACATAAGATTGGTCGTAAAAGTATCAGGCATGCTGGGCGGTGTAGTGGGTAGCCATTCCAGCTTTGACCTGGAAGTTCCAACCCCCACTGAGGCTACGGTAACTGTCACGCCTACAAGGCGGAGCTGAGAGAGGACCCTGAAGACCGGAGATCTGGATGCTCGGGCTCTCTTGGTTCCTGGACCCTGGACACTGGAGGTAGACCGAGCAGAGTTCTCCAGAGAACACTGCCAGACTGTGCCACGCCTTTCCCGGACCCTGTAAACTATCCCTTCACTTGTAAGTGACCCCACAAAATAAACCTCCCTTTTAACTATGCGGAGTGGCCTTAATAATTTCACCAATATGGCGGTGGTGGCTCACGCCTTTTTGTCCCAGCACTGGAGAGGCCGGGGCATGGAGATCTCCGTGAGTAGAGGCCAACTTGGTCAACAGAGCAAGTTCCAGGACAGCCAGGGCTGTTATACAGGGAGAGCCTGGTATTTTAATAATCCAGTGTGAAATCACGCAACTCAACAGGAGGCCAGTGGTACAGGAAGAGGTTCTTGGTGCTGTGAGGCTCGGGCTGAGAGCTTCGGGGAAGTTCGTGCATAAGAAAGGGTGCATGGATAACACAGTGTGTGGGGGGAGGCCCGAGGACAATGTTGGGGCGCTGGTTTGCTCCTCCGACCTTGTTGAGCCAGGGTCTCCCTTGTTTTTGCTGCCTTGTGTGACTGTGTTTGTGTGACGGCCTGTGAACTTCCACGTGATTTTCCCATCTTGCCCTGAGGGCACTGGGATGACAGATGTGCACCGCTGGACCAGGCTTTTTTTATGGGCGATGGACCTCAGGCTGTCAGGCTTGAATGGCAAGCACGTCTACGTGCTGAGCTATCTTGCCTGCCCTATTTGTTTTATTAATTCACTGCATTCAAAAACATAAATCTTGGGCTGGAGAGATGGCTCAGTGGTTAAGAGCATTATCGCTTCTCCAGCACCCGCCAACAGGTAGCTCCAGCGCCACAGGCTCTGGCGCCCTCTTCTGGATTCTAGAGGTACTTGCACTCACCCATGCACATCCCCCCCCCCACCTGTGACATATACACATCACCAACACCATCATAATGGAAACAAACAAAACAAGAAAAATCCCAACATAATGCTGCTGAGTCTGGGCTAAGTGTCTCGGGGCTGCACAAAAAGTTGGGGTCCTTGCAGCTGTGCTAAGAGAAAGCACGTAGGGAATGTGCCTGCTCAGAGGCAGCACCCACACTACCCTATGTGGACTGTCTGTGACTAAAAGGAGCCTTTTCCTTTATGAAAGAGGCAGACAAGACACCCACCAGGTAGTTGACCAACCACTAGAAACCAATAAAGAGACCCAAGCCACCTGCTGGCCATCACCATGGTCTCCAAGAGAGGGAGGTCAGGTCCTTCTATTGGTCTGGATAGCCCTCCCCCAGGGCAGAGTAGCGTTCTCTCTTGACAGCCTCATAACCAGTAGAGGAGGGCATGACAAAAGGGATTTTTGTTCATCCATCGAAGGGCCCAGGGCCACTGATGCACAATTCACAAGTCCTTCTGCATCCTTTTTTTTTTTTTTTTTCCCCTCAAAGGAGACTAGGGAAAGAAGAATTTTGTGCAAGACCCTTCACATCGAGAAGGCCACCCGGACACCACCAATCTCACTCACGGCCTGGAGCTGACTTGCGCTCACTATTGTTACCCAGACCCGTTCTCTCTCAGCTCTCAGACGAGGTGTGTTGCAGTTGTATTCGAGGTCCCAAGATCTCGAAGGGACTCCATGGACCCCCAAAGCCACATGGCCATCGTAGAACCTCACTGTCGTCCATGATCCATATGAAGCACACTCATACATACTTCCTGGGACCCTCCCCTCTCCGTGTCTGTATTTAAAAAGGCACTAACACTCTTGCCCCCCCCCCCCCCAAGCACATTGAACTGTTGGAGATCACAGACTTTCAAAGCCACAGGTCTCATTCCCATTTGGCTGCTCTGCTTGTCCTGGCCTGTACCCTGCTGCTGAACCAGCAAATTGATGGTCTAATGCAAGTGGACAGACAGCTGTACTCTCTACCCAGCTGCTCTCTTCCCGCTGAGCTCACCCATGGATAAGGAGGAGAGGAGCGGATGCCACAGCTCCGGGCGGCATCCTTTGTCTCCGCTGCCCACACCCGCTCGATCACCAGCAAAGGTACTGTCCATTTCAGGGGGAGGAGCACCTGCCTCCTCAGCTTGGCCCTGGGCTCTATGCACCAGCTTTCAGTTCTACAGTAAACAAATGTGGCCTCAAGTTTCACATTACCTAACAGCTCAGTGATGACTTTGTCATGGATGTGAGCATCCCAACCTGCCACGGTGGATTAGAAAGTTGCTGTGGCTGTAGCTTGCCTAGAATTTATGAGGCCCAATACTGCCATAAAATAAATAAAAATCAGGTAAAATATTCATGCCATTTCAAGTGAAAAATTTAGAATGAGATAAAACAAAACAAATTATATCTCTTTGATATGCTATGACGTAGAAAGGCCATAGACAAATCTAGGGTCTGGAATTTACTAGTGTATAATCTTGGGTAAATTTCTCTCTCTCTCTC